CAATAAGTTACTATACAAAAACATAACATAGCTCACACGAGGATAAAGGCCTCAAAAAACCAGACATGAGGTTTTAGGAAAACCTTACGGTCAATTCTCAAACGCTCCAATGTTAAGTTGTCTATCTGTGGTAGACTTCGATCAGCCTAAAGTTTAAGATACTAAGATATATGAGCATAAATATAATGAGTTTAGTTACATCTTATATGAGCATAAAGAAGTGTTTTAATGTACACTGACCTTTAGCTTGTATGCCTTACGCTCAACCAAAAAGACCTTATTGATCCTATAAAGACCTTAAGTAACCCCTGCCAGCTCCAAACTCAACAACAGCAGAGAGATCAGATTGACAGTATTGCTCAGACAAAACCCCAAAATCCTACAAGTTGCCAAGAATCGATGCCTGTTGGCGGACATGCTTCTCTTGGTATGGCAATTTCCTTAAAGCACAAACAAATTAAGTGTACCAATCAAACAAACAGCATTTATCAATGCATACAAAAATAAATTCGATTCAGTGAAACACGAAAAAAGAAGACAGAGAAGCACATACCTGTCATTCTGTCTCTTAATCCAAACATCACAGGCATGAGGTATCCTATAAGAAAGCTCTATATCCTTACAAATTAAAGTATGAAGAGAGCGAATCTTGGAGAGTAAGTAAGAAAATTGAGGAATACTCAAATTATAAACCCAATTTCGCTTCATCTCAGAAGTAAATTCAGCATCTTCATACAAATTAGGGTGAAGAAAATTATACGCTGCCCATTCACTCAGAGGGGTGATATTTTTTATTTTTCATTGTATAACCAGGGGCTTCTTACCTGAATACACAAGAAGAAGAGAAACAAAACGAATTGAATCCAATAACAAGTCGAAAACAAATTATATTAAATTGAAACTTACTGGATTATGTTTTTCATAAATTACATAAACCCTAGAATTTTGTTTTTCATAAATTACATAAACCAAAATTATTAAACAAGTAAAGAGAATAACATATAAATTATTAAACAAGTAAACAGAATAACATATAAATTCTCAGTATAATCAGAACATTACTTTTCGGCAATTAAAAGAGCATACTAAACCCGAACGTATATAACAGATCACGCTAAGGACAGTATGTACCTGCGGAAATCTGAGTAGAACGAGCACCAAGTTATACAGCACAACAACACCTGCAAGCAACACAAAATTCTGCTAAGCTCACTATAACAGGCAGTTAAAGACAAACTCATTCATAAACAATACATCATCGCACAAGCCAACATTTCCTCTATATTATGCTCCTAAAGTATGTACCATTTAATGATCCAATTAATACAAACCAAACAAAACCCGTCACTTTAAGATCTATAAATCGGGAACCAAACCAAAATGATGCCTCCACTAATATAATTTTTCCCCCCTAAGACACGATTTTTCACACAGCAACAAACAAATTCAAAGTTCACTTTTTAACCAAGAACATTCATATTATTTTTTCTTTTCTTCAGCACAATGGCATATACTGAGAATTTTAAATCCAAAATGTACTCACCAATAGCTAATTATAAAAACTATAAATCTGAAAACCTAACAACAGTATGATAGGCAAGCTTATTTAAGCCTAAACTATAATCAAATAATCGATTAAGCTAATTTACACAGAAATGTATATAAGATCAAACATTTTAAATATTCTAATTACCTAAATTGCAATTCATTTGTTCCAGTTGAGTAATCAATGTAGGTAAAGATCATTTTCGTCACAGTGTTCTTTAAACCAAGCTCGTTTTTCCAGTAAAAGTCCAATAACTTCATTTCCATTCTGATAAGGCAGGCAACTTATGGGACAAAAGCTCTCCGGTCTAAACATAGAGGAGCTGCAATCTCTAGAAGAGCAACTAGAAATGAGTCTTTAAGGGGTTCGTATGAAAAAGGCAAGAAACTCGTTACTTGAGAGTCTAAGTAGCTAGTTAACTTCAGTTTCAGTATGAAAATTAGTTGTCTTAATTTACTGAACAATGCATCCTATTGTACTTACAACAGGGTACAACTTACACGAACAACCAGCACCCCGAAACACCTAGAGAAAAATTACGACGTATAGTACGAGTGCAACCACTTTTATGCAACGTAAACAAACACAGACTCAATAATACTAAACAGAGGCATCAACAAAAAGTACAGAACATCAGAACATCAGAACCAATGTAACTCTATATGCATGTTGCATTCTCCATTTCTTCTCGTACGACAACCATGACAAGTTAAAATACCAACTAGGCATAAAAACAGGAGGTATAATATCTTTTTCCAACATTCTGACACAAGCTCATACATGACAGTATACTGAACTATGTAAGACTAAGTGTTCTGATGAGCTCATGAACTTACAGAAAAAAAAAAACCATGAAATAGTCATCGATATGATATACTACTTGTTTAAGTAAGATTAGAAACCTCAACTAAAAAGCTGGCCCTAATATATACAGTACCTTTTGAGCATGCGGTTTACCAAGAGATTTTTTTTTGGCTCTACCTACCGTCCCAAAAGTTTGACAAGAATGCAAGATGTTCATATTAAGATGCCCAAATTCTTGGCATATTATTTTTATGACTTATTAGATTTACTTGACACTAGTTTGCATCCATGCACCTAAATTTACCTCTAATTTTCATCCCGCCCTAGCCTCATAGTTTTGCGGGGACCAATTCAACAAGTGTACTGAACCTTGCTGTATTTCTGAGCATGTTATTCTACATTTTCAATAGGCAAAGTAAGTTAGGCAGAAATGCTATAGTATGATACATCACTGTCCTAGTGAACAACTTCCATAAATCCGGTTGACACACCAAAGCATGAGACATTGATATCGCCCAAGTGTCATTGCCTTAATTCACATTGAAGAGAAAAATTAAGAATCTACTAAGACTACTATCAATCTATCATTGACTCTTCATTATCCAAATCAAAGGGTGAAAAAAAGAGGAATTACAGAAAGCCGAGGAAATCGGGTTTGGTTTTCAAGCAATTACGACCCTCTATGTCATTTTTTGTTTGAAAGAGGGAAGTGTTCAAAAGGAGAGCAGTGGAAGATCGGTAATCATAAGAGAATATGCATGCTGTGAAATAAAACATTCACCAAAAAGAAAGCCACAGAACTAGTACAGCCTAAAGCGAAACATACACTAAACAACTAAAGTTAAAAAGGATACTACGAAAAAAACTACAAGGTATTAGCCAAAAAGCAGAACCTGTAGGTTCCAGCATACCAACTGCTCATGCACCTGCTTCTGAAGACTCAATAATGGGATGGTGGGCTGCAATTAGCTCACAAACAATTCAATGATCTCGTCAGCCAATACATTTAGATCAATTGAATAGTAAAGAATAAAAAAAATTGAGCAGAATCAGAAAAATTGAAAACACAAAAATTTAAACAAAACGCAAGGAAACCATAAATAAGATAAAAAAAAATGTAGTACTACGGTAAGACTGTAGAACAGGAAGAGTATTAAGAAGATTGCTCACCTTAATCGTTCTCTTTCTCTCAATCAAACCAGCAAAAATGCAAAATTAATTTAACAAAATTGATGACATCAGAATTATTGAAGCAATTACTTACGAAAACCCTAATTAAACAAATAGTAGCTTAATTTTTGAGAAATTATAGCATTTAACAACTAAATAGAGCCATTTTCAACAAATTATACTAGAATAAATTTAATTGTTTCAATATACATACCAGTAACTTGAGATTAATTGAGTGCAGCGAGAGAGGACTGGGTTTGAAGGTTAGAGATGTAGGATTCGGAGTCGAAAGGAGGGAGAAAGAGGTTGTTCTTGAACCATAAAGGGGTTAAATCGTAGATTGGGTCGCCGAAGAGGTCGGTATATGAGCGCGGTGGTGGTGCAGGCGGTGGTTGCGCCATTGTTGGTAGTTTTGAGGTCTGGGTTTTAAATCAGATGCAACAACTACAACAAAAACGTACTCCTTCTCATCTACTGTGAAAATATGAGATCTGAGAAGATGAGAAAATGGAGAAATTGGAAAAATGGTACTGTGAAAATGGTCCTCTATAATCAATTAAGGTGAGAATGGGGAAAATTGGAGAAAAGGGGGAAAATGGTACTGTACTTTGAGAATTGTGAATAGAGGGAAGCAAATTAAAGACAAGTATTGTTCAAATATTTGGTGAAAAAAATAGAGGGAAGAAATGCGCGCTTTTAAATTTTTCATAATACACTCATTTTTTTAAAAATAGCTAGGCTATTGCAACGGCTCTTTTAAAGCCGTGGCAATAGCTCTACCTCTAAGAACATTAGTGTTAAATCCGTGGCAATAGCCTACTCTATTGCAACGACAATTAAAATACCGTTGCATTAGCCTTTTATTAGGCCGTTGCATTTGGTCAAAAATGTAGTAGTGGTGGACCCCACACAACTACTTCTCTTCTTCATTTCACCCTCCTTCTTTCTCTCTTCTTCCTTTCTCCCTCCTTTTCTCTCTTTTTATGTACTTTTACTATTTTTTAATATTAAACATAAATAGTACAGAGTAATATTACAATTATAACCTACTAACATTCAACTAATGCCTAATAATTAGGCACTAGGACTTCCTCAGTTCCTCGCTATATCTCTACTATCTAGGCTGTGGGGGTCCTGTATTTCATTTATATTGACTTTCCTAATATCAAAAGCAGTTAACTTCTTTTTGATTTAATATCATCAACAATCTGCTTGATCTCCCTCTTCGGATGGTCAACTTTGAGTAAAGCTTTAACTAAGTTCGTTAAGTTAGTTAGTATGGAGATACTCTTTCCTTCCAGATTTATAATTTTCATATGAACCTCATTAGCTGCATCTCCTGAGTGAATTCCCCCAAACATGTAGCTAGATGTTCATCCTGAATATTTGCTCTTAATTGGATAGAGTAAAGTATTCTCTAATTGCAACACCTCCAGTGAACTTGTTTAGGCGCTCTAGTAGACAATGAGCAGAAATTTTAGGAAATAATACGAGTGTATATCTTACAATAGCAGATGAATATCATGAGGATTACCTTCTAGGAAGGATATTTTCATGCACTCTAACAATACTTGTTACAACATTAATAAATACGCAGTGTTAGCATAAAATAAATAAATAAAAATACGCAGTGAAACTCCAACATAAGAAAAATGCATGTAGTATCTCCAACAGAATACTTCTTCAATTGCTGCAAAGAATCCCCAAAGCAAGGAAATGATGCACATATTTAGCCAATGTCAAATGTCTGGCTCTTCTGTCCAATTTAGGAGCTTCGCTCGGTTGATTTGGAAAAGTTTTGACAATGAATAAAGACATGCTATATGGCTTGAGACTCTTCAATTAAGAGAAGTAATCTTCATCAGTTGCGAGCTAGGACGATGAAGGTTGCCAATCAAGCTAGCTGCTACATACCATTGCACATCTCTTGGACACATAAAGAAAATAGGAAATTGACCGGTTAGCACATATTGTTTTTTCTTAATATTGAGGAACTAGAAATAAAAAAAAAATATTGAAAGTAATCAAACTAAAGGCAACTTCCGGATTGTAAATCAACTAATCTCAAATTTCATTACATAATACATATTCAGTAATTACAAAAACTCTCAAAAGTAAAGTAAAACACACAATTCACTCGCTTTTTGATAGCTTGAGTATGTATTAATTGTATGATAAAATGAAGGCTGTAGCAACTCAACTCAACATATCTATATATTGCCAATGAAGATCAATCACACAAAAAGAAACAACTGAATAACAGAAGAATATGTCTTACGGATTATTCATACAGTTCAAAATTGTCCGTTTAACAACCTTAACTAGGCAGTTCGTAGCTAGATACACAGCTAATAAAACTGCTAATACTGGCTACTCCTAACAAAATTCTCATAACAGCAGTCCAAGCCAAGCCAACCAACAAACTATAGTGTTAATACTATCTTTTTACTTATTCAGGCATAGCTACTGCATTTGGAAATCTTGGGGAAAAAATTGGGGGACAAGCAACTTATTGTTTTAAAATAGATCATTGAACTATAAAAAGAATCATCCTGGAAGGATCAAGCCCCCGTCGACCTGAACCAAGATCCATCCCTGAGCCCAACCAACAGACAGATCAGGTGATAATCCAGGCACAGGAATAATGTATTTAGAAATATCTAAGTCTGACCTCAACAAATATAAAAATGAGCTAGCCATGACTGATGTTGAATCATTAATCAATTTCAATTATCAATACAACTAGTCTATGCATGCACAAACGAGAAATGAATTAAATTAGATGCACTCAATGCCTTACTTCTCTGTAAAACATTTCATAGACTATCATGTAGAAAATAAGAAAGGCATCAATATACCTGCTCTTAGTTTATTTACTCTGCTTCTCCTGCAAAATTAGGGAGAAGAAAAAAGTTAAGGACCGACATTATCCTATCGTTTTAACTACTATGAATCAAATTTGAAAAAAATAACCTGCGTGTTTATCCCTCAAAATGAGTCGGCTAAATGCTCCAATGTTGTCCTTGACAAGTAGATATCCCTGAATCAATTTGCTTTAGTAAGACTAGGCTGAAGTTTGGTCATTTAGTTCAACAAAAAAAGTAAAGGTTGAAGGTATGTAGCAACATTTATATTTTATACACAAGTAATATTGCAACTAGAATAATACCAACCTGGTAAACAATGTTTTGATGTGGCTGAGTAGGCGGTGTTGGGACATTATTGGCACCCGATGTTGGGATCCTTGAGTAATCAATCTCTACATATGGAATACAATCTACCTTCTGCCAATCTTCTCCTTCAATAGCACATCGATCTTTGAGTAAATCACTCTCTCTTATCTCGAGTGACTCAAGAGAAGAAGGCAGCTCTGGCAATGATCTCATTGCTGGACAACGTTCAATCTTTAATTCAACTAAAGAGGTTAGATTCTTGAGTGAAGGCAAGTTGATGAACTCAGGACAATTTTCAATTTTGAGAATTCGAAGGCGAGGCATGTCATTTGCTTCCAATCCTCTCCAATTCCGGAGTTGCACCAACTTCTTGAACGTCAGTGATTCCAATGATGGAAAATAGACGTCCCTAGTAACACTGGATGTTCCACAAAAGCGGCGATCCACAGCTGTTACACTGGCAAACTCTTCAATGACAAGAGTCTTAAGAGTCTGAAGCTCACCAAGTGCTGGCAAGATCTCACATGATGGACATTTCATCAAATGTATCTTTTGGAAGCTTCGCGATGGATCACAAATCCATTCTGGAAACAACTTGCCACTGTAGTTTATTATTTGCAACTCCCTCAAACAAACATGAGGTTCTAGGCCTGCGAGTACACCTTCAGCAACAGTTGCATCCACCAATCTCATCCATTGCAATTCTATCTTCTCTAGCAACAACTTGTTGCAAAGCATTGCCTCCTCTGCCATAGCTCGATTTTGGACATATTCGAGAAATCGAATGCAAATTGACCCTTTAAGACAATTCATATTCTTCAGCTCTGAAATACAGTATCCTTCAAGACTATCACCTACCATGAACAGAGGGAGGGTCTGAAGTCTACGAAGGTTTCCGATGTGGGATGGTAGATGAAGCCGAATTATGTCACTTAATTCCCAATCAAGACACAACATATTAGTCAGTTTTTGAAATTGTTGTGGTAAATGAATAAGTTGTGAAGTGTTTGTGAGATTGAGGAATTGCAAGTTGGAAAGTTTACAGAGTGTTTCAGGTAATTTGTTTATGGGAGTAAAGGAAATATCAAGGTTTCGTAGACGCTTCAACCTATGTATGGAGTCTGGAAGCTCTGTAATATCGGTTTTCTTCAGTTTCAGTACACGAAGGCGCGCTAGTGCCTTGAAAAGCTGGCGAGGCACAGGACCAATCCTTCTATCATTGAGAGAAAGAAAAGTCCTCAAACGTTTGAATTTCTCAAGTTGAGTCCATTTAGCAAGTTGAATGTCGCCACACAACAAGGACAAGTGACGAACATCTTCAATCTTTGAGGAATCACTTATAGATGACACCCCTTGTTCAAGCCGCAAACATGTCTTCGAAGCATCAAATTGAGAAAATATGTGGCTGAATTTGTGCAACTCATATTTAGGCTTTTCGGTGTGGTTTACATGTTCCGAATGTTGAAGTATTGACATGCCTTGTAAATCACTAAAATACTCTTTGCCTTCGCCCTGCTGAAGTATCCCTTCTGCTACTAAAAGGTGAATTAAATCATCCATATTAAAGGGGTGTCTATGAGGAAAGATAGAGAGAAAGGCGAGACACACCATCAATCGAGGTTGCATAGTATGATAGCTCAACCTCAAGATAGATATTATCTCCCTTTTAACATCAGACATATCTTGCAAGTCCTTGTTTAATCTGTTTACCGCCCAATCATCCATGTGATCTTGAGCTAAGACCATCCCAAGAATTCTAGCAAGCACTGGCAAGCCTTCACACTTTGTTGCTAGGATGCCGGCAATATGTGACAAATGCGAATCAGGCAAATTTTGATTGAGCAAGAGCGCCTTTTTCACAATGACCTGTTTGCAATTTTCGTCTGACAAACACTTCAAGTAGTGTGCAGTTGTGCGAGTTATTCTTGAAACTTGTGGATTAAAAGTGGTGATGAGGAACTTAATCTCTTTGTAAGCCAACTGAGCTTTAATGAGAGCCCGAAACTTGGTCCACGCAGAGACTTCTAAAGTTAGCAAATTGTCAAAAAAGATCATCAGCCTTTGATTTTGTTGTTGGAGGACCCCGTTGTTGCCAATAATTGACCTTAGTTGGCGAGTTGCTTCTTTGAAATCGAAGCATCCCTCCATCGAAGCAACTCGAATGCAGCAAAATCGCTCCAACATTCTTCTGTCAAGCAAGGTGGCTTCGGCAAGCATTGTCTTTCCAAGTCCATCCATACCTAGTATGCATACTCCATGATCAGAATCATCATCTGTAATCAACCTTTCGATGACATCCGCGATATCTTTTTCCCTTCCAATCAAAGGCACTAACAGCTCTGTATCAATAGTATCATGATCACCACTATTAGCTTCGGCAGGACCTGTAAGTTCAACGATAGACTTCACTTCCTCAATTGTTTTTTTTAGTTTTCTTTCTAGCTCCTTGATGTCATTTGCCCAAGTACTAACCATGGATTTAAGCCTTGATGAAAGAGATTTCCGAGTGAAATCTGGTATATCTTCAATCAAATCTTCTGCTTCTAAGTATAGAATTGCCATGGTGTCAAGCCGATCTTGCAACCTAAGTCGAAGTGTATCATCATCCAACTGGAATGTGTTTACGCTATTCAACAGATCCTGTGCCAATACAACAGTAGTATCTAGCGATTTTACTGCTTCCTCACCCCTTTGGAACTTTTTGTATTCATCTTTGATGACACCAATCAATTTGATTAAGTTCTGAAGTAAACTTGAAGCAAAGGCAGATTGAAATGCAGCTTCCATAGTAGCTGAAATTGAAGATATGATGGTTCACAATCCTTTATCTGTTTCTCATATGGTTAGGCTCCTTCCTGGGGTGAAATTGAAGTTCAGTTTGTTGACCTATGAACAAACCCAAATGTGAGTGAAAGTGTTTACGTTGAAAAAGTATAAAAGTGTTGAAAAGTGTATAAGAAACAAAAAGGTTGTATCCACTTTATAACGCTAAGGGGGTAAAGGGGCGACTCCGCTCATTGTCATATGGTTTGAAAGTGGAACCTCGTTAGTCGTTAAAGTGGACACTTCTGACAAGCGCGGCCGAGGTCCATTTATCACAGTTGCATTCAAGCTTTAAGCATTGTTATCAGCTTACAATGAACTATAAAAAACTACGGAGCATTGGCGGATCTATAGTGGGGCCTAGATGGCACTAATTCCACCAAAAACTGATTTTTTATTTATTTATTATTATTTAGGAAAAGTTGATTCTTGAAAGTTTTTCTTAAAAAAGAAAATATAGCAAATAATAAAATATAGAGTGAAAAAAGTGAGGGATAGCTCAAATGGTTAGACCTTTTAATTTCAGGAGATTTTAGGATCGATTTTTACCCGCTCTTGTGGCTTCTTTAACACAAAAAAAAAAAAAAAAAAAAAAAAAAAGTAATTATAAATATATTAATTGTCAAATAAGTGTCTTAAAAATTGCATAAAATGAAATCGGTACTATGCTATGGGACTCACAACACTTATATCTGGGAGAATAACTAGCATATCTCTAAAACAATAACTAATGCGAGCAATGGTTGCAGATTAATTAGATTAAACTAATGATTAAAGCCCAGAATTGATGTATATATTCTATCAGATTTTTTTTTATTTTTTAGTCTATGATACACGAGTTGTTTAGTTGTTTTGGGAAGATTAAGCTATTAGTGATTTTTTAAAATAAAAGAAACAATAGTAAATTTATATGGAAAAAGTGTCGAAAATGTAGATGTACCTGGAATGATTGAACTTTGGTGGGAGGCTAGATAGTGGAAAGTCAGATCCGGAGGATAGAGCTTGAACCCAGCTACCGATCTTACTCGTATCGTTTTCAACTCCAAGGGATTTTTTCATTTCTGTTACTCTCCTCAATCTCTCAACTAGTTACTCGTACCTCATTTCTGACTTTTTACTTCCTCCACTTTCAATGTTCTCCTCCATCAATATATTCATATGGATGTATTGATGTAAGATTAAATGAGAATTTTAAAAGGTTGACGTGTGACTTTGTGAGAATGTGAGGTGTAAGATAATAGATTACTTTCTCTGTTTCATAATGATCTATTGCATTATTTAACTTTTGCACTACAGAGTATTTATATGCTTATAATCAACAATGGTCTATCCTGCTAGCCCGGTCCAATCTGGCCCGAAAATAGGGCGGGTTTGGGCAAGTTAAAAATCATTTTTAGTTAAAAGCTCGAACCTGGCCCGGAAAGCCCGTTTTGGCCCGACAAGCCCGCCACTTTTTGGCGGGTTTGGGCAAGACATTTGATATTAAGGCCCGGTCCGACCCAAATTTATGGTCACCTCTACTATTTTCGCATACTTTTTTAGTTACATCACTTTTGTGATTGCAGGTTGCTATATGCAAGTTTTGGAGTAGAGAGAGTGAAAAAAAAGGCTTATGTTATATGAGAGAGATATAGAGAATTTATTAACTAAAAGGAAAAATGATTTATCTAAATTGAAACTTTCATTAGTAGAAAGTGATGCATCTAATAAAAAACGAAAGAATTATATATATATATATATATATATATATATATATATATATATATATATATATATATATATATATATATAAATGGGATCATGTGAAAACCCATGAAAGTTTTATATATATATATATATATATATATATATATATATATATATATATATATATATATATATATATATATATGTTATCAATATATAAAAAAACATATATTGTCATGTAATACATTTTTGGATTAGTCTAATATTCTTAGGTATTTTTTCATTAGATCAAGCTTTTATACCTCTTAATAATATATAATTACAATTACTAATAATTAAAGTTGTGCACTGACATATGTGTCGGTCAAAGTGTTGCGATTATTATTATGAAACGGACAGTGTATCACTAAATGTTGAACTTTGATTTAATTACTCTGTACATATTACTCCCTTGGGTTCAATTGCAACAAATATTCAAAAAATATATAAAATTGCAACACTTTGTATGACAAATTTTTTACACTCCTCTTTGTTTATAATAATAATGTGCCACGTTATCTAATAAACCGATATTATTTGGTGTAAAAACATTAGGATAAGGAGATTCAAACCTTTAACCTTTTTTAATTAAGATTACCGCTTAACCACTTAAGCCAATTATCAATTATATTAATAATACGTATAAAAAAATATATAAATGCAAACCTTAAGGTTCAACTTTATTTTTTTGTAAAATACTCAAATATTTGGTTTGACAACGATAATCTATATTTATAGATATATTAAAAGCGTTCCTAAATAAGTTTAGGTGTCACGTGGCGCTCTCCTCATTTAATCCGATTTTTACCATGTTTTAAAATATGATTCTTACAAGATTTGAACCCACGACCTCAAGTTTAAACTCCAATGTGTTAGCCACTAAGCTAATACCGTATTACATGTCATTCAATAATAATTATATATTAACAAAGATTTTTATCATGGAAATAATGCAGTAACTTGGGGCAAGCTTAACACTAGTTTTAATGTTTAAAAGCCTTAAATAAAATTTATTGATTGCACGAACAGTAGCAACATGGGGCAACGCTCGGGCTACTCACTAGTCATCAATGTATCAATACTAAAAGACACATAACAATGACACATGTCATCTCTTGGTATGCCTTACTTCTTTTTTTATTAAAAAAATATGAAACAAATCATTTACCAAAATAATATTATTTTTTAATACATACTCCATATTAATGTAATAATTATTATATTTAAAATTAAAAGATTTCACAAATCTTTTTTACAAAATTTGGGCAACTATAAATAAATATTGTATTTTTAAAATAATTTGTGATCAGTTTTACAACAAGAAAAGAGATTGCTCATATAATACTTATCAACAAAAAATTTATAACTATATATAATTATAGATTAAGGGTCTGTTCTGATTTACTGAACTAAACTTAAATGATTGGAGCTGAACTGAACTGTTTATAAGAAGAAAAAAAAATTAGGAATTGAATTAAACTGAAGAGAACGTAACTAAATAATGAACCGAATAACTTGAGCTAAACTGAACTAAAAAAATCTGCAAAAAAGTCTACAAGATTTGAACAAGCGCTAATTTTCTAGGGTCGATTTAAATTTAGTCAGTGTCACATGACCCACATCCGGCACCCACATCTCAACTTGTCAGAAACCTTATCTTAATTGACGACTGGTTGTCATTCTTTTAGAGCGATTGTCTGATTGAAGAGTGGTTTTTTGAGGTGATAAGATGAAAAGAGTAATTTATTCGGAGTAATAATCACAGATAAAATCTAAAAATGTAATTATTCAACTTACCCAATCTGTATGGACATGGATTTGTGTTGAAGAAAGAAAACAAGCATAAACCTCTGCCAATCCAATTTCATTTCATCGTCATGTTTGTGAGATGATGGACAACCCTCGACTTTCTGATGCTGTTGCATCTCTTTTCCATAAACTGGAACCCTCTAATCTTTCCAAATACAAATTCCCACCAGATCTGGAAATTGGTCTTACAAAACTGAAAGATTCACTGCCCCTTCTGCTTGACCCTAGCCGTACCCACGATTTATCTTTATCCACTGATGATCTCGAGCACCCTGTTTGCAGGGTAAATGATTTACTGGATCTTCATTTTGATGAGAGTTCTTCAATTGTTAAAGACGATGGAGAAGAAGAAGAAGAAGAAGAGAAGAGGTTTGAGGAGCTGAGGTTGCTTATCTCACGCTTGGCGCCACTGTTTAAAAGTTGTTCTGAAATAACAGAGTTTGAGTTGGCCTATCTTAAACGTCTTCCGCCCGATCTTTTCAGATTAGTTGTGTATTGCTCAATTTATCCTAAAGGTCATAGATTTGTCAGAGAAACTCAGGTCAATATGTTGATGGCTCAGGATCTCTTGAGAGATACACTAGAAAAATATATAAATCCTGACAAAATGCCCGTAAGTATTGTAACAACATATGTAATGCCTGATGAAACAACTATCTTGAGAGATACTGGAAAGCGGTATTTTGAAGAGCTGCTTTCCAGAGGGATATTTGAAAAACCCGTGTCTGTTTTTGGTAATGGCAACAGCAGAAGCGTATACAGCTGTGAGATGAACCCTCTTGTCTGTGATGCAGCACGCCGCCTTGCAGCTGAAGAGGTAGCTGTGTTCAGTACACGTAATTCTGATGGTTCCTCTTCTGTAACTGTTGGACAACGAACTAAGCATGTAGCATTCCACAAGAACGGGTTTTCACGGTTTAACCTGGAAAAGGTGATCCAGAATTGTGAAAACACTACTTCATTATTAATGTTCTCTAGTCACTGGGATGCGTTTTTTGGTGGATCTGCAGGTCAAATTGTAAGATTGGATAATTTAAGACAGCTTCGTGTATTAGACTTATCTGGATGCCAATTTAGGAAGCTTCCACCTATCCGTCTATCTTCCTTGAAATATCTTAGTCTGTTAGGGAATGTTCTTCTCGAAAGTTTTTCTTGTGAGTTTTTTCCGCTCTTGGAGACATTAGATATTCATGGATGTGTTCGATTGGAAAATGTTGTGGGTTTAGAACTCTTAAGCGATTTGAGGAATTTGTACTTAACATCCCGGCAATCATCTTTGACTTTAGGTTTCCACCGACGAGGAGTGTTATTAGAAGTCTCTCACTGTGTGCATTTGATCGACATTAGAGGTCTACATATGAATATATTGCGCATCTTTGATTGCCCAAGCCTTAAAACACTTCATATCCGTTACCTTGAGGAATTAGTTCTGCATAATTGTGCTAGTCTAGTTATAGACTATGGAACACAATTGTATGGGAGAAGCATATATCTCAAAAGATTGGAACTTGTAGGTCTTCCAATGGTTCGGTTGCCTGACTGGCTTCAATTCGCCCAGGTTCTAGAGTATTTCATGATTAAAAATTGTCCACAGTTACAAAAGCTAGAGAGTGTGAAATACCTTAGATCTCTTCAGGAACTATACATCTATAGTTGTCCAAATTTGCGATCTCTACCTTATAATGCTCTATACTCACTTCCTAACCTCAACTTACTCGATATCAGGAATTGCCCAAAGCTCACTGGAATACCCACATGGCTCTCCAATATTCAGGTAAAAAAGTTTCACGTTGGTTTTCCAATTATTATGAGATGGAAAGAGTATTAGCTTTAACTTGACAACATACTGACTTACTGAGCATGTGAATTTTCAACAGGAGGTGTTTAGTGCTATTCCATCTTTCTTCAGGAAAAGCAGTTCTACTGGTCGTGCTAAAACACACAAACCCCAATCCAGTTCGGAATCGAAAGGTAAACTTCTTATTAATTATATGGTTATTGGCTTGTGGCGGTACATTATTTAAGTTCCATTCTCTTTATCTAAAATTATTTTAATTATAAATAAGCTTGTATAACTCTTATAAACTACCTTAACCAAATGTATATAAAATGATTTATTTTTTCCTAAAATAAAATAAGGTGAACAAGTTGCTTTAAGGTTTAAGGTTTGTAAGTTTGTAAAATTCACCTAATTTAACAAATTCAAACATATGCACATAAAATTCTTCTCATATTTCTCATTTTAAGAAACTTCTATTACTTGTCCCACTTTTATGGTCGTTTTTTTTATTTATAATTTGCTCTATTTTCTTTTTTAAAAACTTTAACAATTTTTGGGGAATTTTTCTTTATGGTTGGCCACACCGTGTGGCTCGGGTTACTCGAATTACTCGGTTAGAGATTACTCGAGTTACTCCTGACCGAGTTACTCCTCGAGTAACCTATGACCGAGTAACTCCTGACCGAACCCCTCAAGTACCCTCTAATCGAGTAAAATGAGTAACTCCGATCACACAGTGTGTCTACATATAAAAATTAATATTGTAAAAAAATTTCATAAAAAGAAATGAAGTAATAAAATACAGCCGCAAAAAAAGTGGAACAAGTAATAATATACGGAGAGAGTATATAACTATATATGTAAAAGATAAAGGATAGTTTGTCTTAACACAAAGGGACACCGCAACCCCTATCTTGACTTGTATGACATTTTGGCATATTTGTTTGAACCATTTTTAATGCATATATATATATTTTTTTTTTTATCATTAATAGTATCTTTAATACTCCCTTTGTATTTTATTTCTTGCTCCATTTTTATCAGACACGATATCGATTAAAAAATGAAAAAAAAGTGTGCCAACTTGTTGGAAGTGAGAATGCGGTGATGCCTATATTATAAGAGAACACTTGAATTTCTTATTATGATTCAATGGGAAATAAGGGCCTGTCTTCAATTAAAAAAAAAAATGACACAAAGGGCCTAAGTTTGTTGAATTACACAGGGCCAAGAAGAAAAGCTTCGTCCTCTTTGCCCCTGCCGTCGGAGTCGCCTTCCAAATCCAACGTCTTAAAAGTATATCTTGATGGACAAATCCACAAGTATTCTCCAAATCAGGCAAGTCCATTTTATGTCTTGTCAATTCTTTTGCTCATGCTGAAATGGTTATTCAGGAGTTGTATTAGGAATTTAGGATCAGTGTAGGTTTTTGGTTTTCTTTTATTTCTATTTTATATTATTTGGACGAATCACAATTTAAAAGTGTTAAGTAAATTGTTATAACAGGTCATTGACTTTTGTTGACCGGTTTGGAATTGAAGATTATAAATAACCTTAAATTCGGATTATTCTACAATAATTCAAAGTTGGGCTTATTAAAAGAAAATCGGATAAAGTTGAGATTTTTAAAACCAATTTTTCCTAAACTAGGGATTCCAGCGATATAACTAGCCTTTTGAGAAGAATTATTACATGTAGCCTTTATGCCCATGCCCTATGCTTGTTTACATGATTATTTATTATAACTATTTGCATATAGACGATAAATAAATTTGATGTTGTGTAGATGTGTAATGTTAGAAACTTTAGTAGAATTACTTTGATTTAGCGAGAAAATGATAAAAAAATATCGAATTCTTGAAATTTAAAAGCTAAATTTTTAAATCATACATTATTCCAATAAAAAAAGACACCATACAATTATATAATCCGTAATTTTTGTACTCCAAATATTTAAAATTAATTTAAAATACTTTGTGTTAAATAGTGTTTAAATTTCAAATTTGAAAAACAAAAAGAAATGGAGTAAAAGATGAATTTAATTATTGAAATAGACACAATTTTTCATTTACAAATAATTAACCAATTTAGGATTTAAGAGACAATTTTAAGGTTTTTGAAATCAAATATAGCAAATATGTAATAGCTTATTTTTAAGGATATAAATATCCATGCACTATTTATAAGAATTTTGTTAAACTTTTATAAGGTAGGGATAAATGTCCATGCATTAATTATAAGAGTTGAGAGTGAGGGATAACTCAAGTGGTTAGAGTTTCTCTCCCTGTGGAGATCTTGAGATCGATTCTCATCACCTGCTCTTGTGTTATTGGTGCTCTTGTTACATCAAACATTCACAAATGTCCATGCATTAATCAAAGTGCTTACATTTATTTTTGCATATGCTTGCGTTTGACATAAACTGCGATGTTAGCTAGGAGCCTAATGCTTCAACAGCCTCACATTTGCATCAGAGTGATCCATATTTTGTTGTGAAATCACGAATGAATAGAACAACAGGTACTAATTTTTTCCAAATGGTGATATCTTTTCTGTTCACTTCATTATGGTAATAAGCTAAATTATGTTATAAACTTGGACAAATAATGACTATCTATTGCGTCGATTTATGTTCCTAGGACTGCTGATTAATCATAATCATTGGCGCACTCTAGCATTGGTTTTTAAAGCAATAATGAGGATGAAAACTATTGTTAGCCCTGGACGAGACCTGACAAAGCTTCACTGCTGCCTCTTCCCCGATGACTATGAATTCGAGAGAGAGACATTAGTCCAGTTATGGATGGCTGTGGGGTTTTTAGGAGATATACACATGGAAGATGCTGGAAACTTAAGATTTGATGCTCTGTTAGAGGGACAGTACATCTTACCAGCAAGGATTGATATTTTGACCGGAAAAAGTAAGTACAAAGTTAATTATGATAAGGTTACAAATCTTCTAAATGGGATCCAAACACTCCAAAATAAGGATCTGCGTGCCATGTTAGAAGATGAAGATGCATCTGTGGTGGGATGGCATGTCTCAATAGTGTCTAATGACATTGATCAAGCAACATTTGAGACACTAAAGACTTTCAACGAATTAAGGACACTTTTATTTGTTCGTAATTATGGTTCTTCTCTCAAACAGATACCATCAGATTTGTTTTTAGCTCTCAAGTCTATACAAGCACTTGATTTGAGTGGAAGCCATATAACTGAGCTGCCAAGTTCTATAGGTAATCTGATACAATTAAGTTACCTTGATCTTTCGTTTACACTAATTGAGAGTTTACCTGAATCCATTGATCAACTTCATCAACTGCAAACCTTGAAACTTGAAGGGTGTAGGCATTTATACATCCTTCCTGATGGAATGAAAGAGCTTATTGGCCTTCGCTGTTTAGATTTTGATGTTTTGGGCCAACTAACTTGTATGCCCAAAGGTATGGGAGCTCTTACTGAGCTTCGCATACTATCAGCATTCATTGTTGACTCAGGAGAGGGTTGTAGCATTAGAGAACTCCAGCACATGAATAACCTTAAAGGAAGTTTTTGTATCTCTGGGTTGGAAAATGTGACTCAGCGTGAGGCCAAGGAAGCTACTCTATTTGATAAACGGTACCTTATTCGGTTGCAACTAAGATGGAATGACTTCAAATCTTACGATGATCAAAAGCGACATGACATATTTTGGACTACTTATCATCTTGAGCCAAATTCATGTTTGGAAGAGTTGGAGATATTATATTATCCTGGCTTAATATTGCCACCTTGGGTAGGCTTTCCAAAGTTTCAGGGGCTTTGTAGTATAACACTCCTCAAGTGTTCAATTGTTGAGCTCCACATCAAATTAGGAAAGTTGCCGAATCTCCGGTATTTGAATATTTCTTTCATGTCAAGATTGACAGTTATCAATTACAGGGTTCACCGCCTATTTATCGATGAACATTGTTGCGGTTTTCCTAAATTGGAGACACTACAAATTGATGGAATGCCTAAATTAGCAACTTGGGATGGAGTACGTTATGGTGATTTCCCACTCCTTTCTAAGCTTTATGTAAAGCAATGTCCCAAGCTGAGTGTGCTTCCATTTCTTCCAGATCTCCCCTCCTTAAAGCATCTAGAAATAAGCCACTGCAAAGTGTTAAACTCTCTCTCAACTGGACCAACTTTGTCAACGTCGCTAGAATCTCTTGTTATAGATGCTTGTCCTTTGTTGAAAAAGAGATACATCAGGGGAGGTGAAGGCTGGTTCGAGATTGAACATATTCCAGATATAACAATTGATTTGAAAGATGTTCGTTCTACTCACGAAGATGGTGTTGATGATGATGCTTCGTCTGCAGGTAACTGTAAACTTGTTTAGACTATATTCTAATTTTCAGCCAATAATATCCTGCCTATGGAGTATTCCTTTTGGAAAATTTTATTGTCATCTTTCAATTTTGGTAACCTCTTTAATCCTTCAAACAATGATATACATTATAAACACTACATTGTCAAAACTATTAAATACAGTATTAAACAATATTGCAATATTGTTTTACAGGTTCAAATTCAGATAGTGATTATTATGAGGGTTCAGACAATAATGTACATCCTTATGACTCCTGCTAGAGGTAAGCTTATATAGTGCATGATTTTCTGTTACTTGATTTCAGCTGACATGATCATATATTTATGAATTCCCGACAACAAATTAAATTTCCCTGTTTATCCCATCTTATGGAGTATATTCCTCAATTTTCTATTCCAGCGCACCAAACATCTTGTAAAGGCAATGAGGTTGATGCTTATCACTTGTGTCTTACATTTAGGTACTTGACAATTATGAGGTACTACCCCGAAATGCAATAAGTTTGTGGTGAAGATTTGTGTGAGGCTTTCTCCAAACCGCAAAGTTGTTATATCAATGGCGGAACTTGCAAGAACTCACAACAGTTGTAATAATGATGCTGCAGAAATGTAGGCTATCCTCTGTCTTTCATAGTGTGTACTATAGTACTCATTTTTATAAAGATCTCTTTGTTGGATAAAAGAGTGTCATGTTCTAAGAAGCATGTGTGTTGTGTTTGGTAGTCTATTAGAGTCAAAAGACTTGCTATCATTAGTTGAGTTATTGTGTTAATGTAGGTTAGTGGATCTATATTAATCCACTAAGTTTATATTGATGTGTAATTTTTTTTTTTTTTTTTTTTTTTTGAAAGAAGTGATGTGTAAACTTATATTAAGGTTTATTTTTATTTTATTTTTTATTTTTTTTATTTTTTGAGGAATTATATAAAGGTTTTTAATGCTATTAAGGACTATGTTTAATTGGAATGAACACATATATTTATTTATACTTGCAATATACTTTTTTTAACTTGTTATTTGAGAAAGAGATTAAAGAAGATAAATGGATAAATTAATCTAACCTGTATCAATATACATTGAAGCCTTTAACATCAAATAGTGTTCACAATATACATCGAAGTAAAAAGCAAAACAAAGATTTATGATTGAAGATATAGATCATATGACTAATTTCGGATGGGGTGATCCTAGGTTCGATAAAGGGACAAACCATAAACCGTCTCTCCCTTCCATGATCCTGGAGGTTAATAATTCATACGGTATCCTTCAATCCCAACTAAAACTAAAACCAGCAGTTGAAGAAATCCCCGCGAAAATGGATTTTCCTTCTCTCTCCTCCACCACCACACACTACCACTCTACTTTCACTCTCCTCGCCGGAGAGCCCCACCCTCGATTTTCTCTCTCCTCCAACAACTCCGGCGAAACTCCTTCTACTTCTTCCTCTTCTCCGCATTTTCCGGGTAATATTCGCCGCCCCAAAACCCTCAAAACCACCACTTCCAAACCCCCACCACCACCTCCTCCTCCTCCTCCTAAACCCCCTTCAAATCCCCTCAAATCTCTCCGTTTTCCCCAAAATACCCCTTCCCCATCTCCCCATAATCTCACTGCTAAGCTCCGCCTCACTAGCAAGATCTCCCCGCCTCCGCCGCCTCCCCCGGTCCCGAACGATGTCGTTTTGGGGGGTGTATTTGATGAGGAAGATGAAGAAGAGAGGGAGGGAGATGAGAGGGGTTCTGGGGTTTCTGGGAAAGTGGAATTTCGGCAAGAGGGTAAGATTTTTGTGGGGAATTTGCCGTTGTGGATTAAGAAACCCGAGGTTACCGAGTTTTTCCGACAATTTGGGCCGATTAAAAGTGTGATTTTGATCAAAGGGCATGAGGATTTGGAGAGGAATATGGGATTTGGGTTTGTTATATTTGGTGGGGAAATGGCGGAGAAATCGGCATTGAAGGCTGTGGAGTTTGATGGGGTGGAGTTTCATGGAAGGGTTTTGACTGTGAAATTGGATGATGGTAGGAGGTTGAAGACGATTGCACAGGAGAGAGAGAGGTGGGTTCTGAGAGGGGAGGGGAGGGAGTTCCGGTCGAAATGGCATGAGGAGAGGGATGATTCCAGGAAGGTGTTTCGGAAGGTTGTCGAGTCACAGCCGGAGAATTGGCAGGCCGTTGTTCGTGCATTCGAGAGGATTAAGAAGGTATAACTAATTCTGATGCTTTTGTACTTACTGGTTTGCTGCAATATAATGTTTGTAGGATGTAATTAATTGAATAATTGTGGTTTATATTATTGAAACTTTGATGATGCAATATTAACTGCATTAAGTGAAGAAAGCTGTTCTTCCAAGATCACAGAATTAGGGTTTATTTGATCATTAACCAATTTGTTCAGTACTAAATTGGGTCACTGACTCCCTGTGTTAGGATTTATGTGTCTTTGCTACTCTAAAGTTTATTTCAATTGTTCAACCATCCTTTTCTGTGAAGTGTGAGGTTTGCTTATAGTTTCTAATTTAGCCATGTCACCAGCTTGACATGAGCTGTAATTTGCGTAACTTCTATATCATAGAGGGAGACCGATGGTTGTGTGCCCTATGTTCCATGGATCCTACATTCGCAAGAAAAGCTTGTGTTCGGCTTGATTCTTAAGAGGTTAGATTGTTATATACAAGATTCTACCTTTAGCTTACATTTTGGAAGCATCATTGCTCTGAATGAGATAAGAGTCCCTTCTGAAGTTTGGTGATTATCTAGTATTTTCCTAAGATGCACTTTGAACACATATAATATAACTAGACAAATGTTCCTTTACTTGTTAAGTCGTATCCTTAGAGGCTTGTGGGATGTTAGCTATTAATTGATGGAATTTGGTGAAAAATATTGCTTGCATTTGTGCAACGCCCCTTGTGGATGCCCTAGGCAATGCATCCTATAAGCTAACATTTGTTTCCTTTGTAATTTTTTATCACTATTCACAGCTATATCTTAAGATGGGAAGATGGAATGGTTGATACAGAAAAGTAGTAAAGATAATCAAATGTTAGTGGAGTTACCCTAGACGTGCACATCATATGAGATTTTTAGTATCAAAATTTTCCTAATATAGGTCTTGCTTATATCATTGTACTGCTGATGTTCAAATGGGTTTATATTTTTCCTCATTTTTAATTTGTATGAACTTAGCCATCTAGGAAAGAGTTTGGGCAGATGGTAAAATTTTATGCAAGACGTGGGGACATGCATCGTGCACGTGAAACTTTTGAAAGCATGCGAGCAAGAGGGATTGAGCCAAATTCACATGTATTTACAAGGTAACATAATCCTGGAAACCATTTATTTGGACTATGTCTTTGTCTTGAATTTTATGGATTTCCTATAAATTAAAGAAATGAAGACACGAGATTTGAATGTGTGATTTGCTGCAGATCTAGTCTAAATGCATAAGTCTACTGTGAACAATTATTAACTTGAATGGTATTTTGGATTCAATAAAAATTGAAATTGAATCCTCCTAATTCTGTTACTTATTCTGTCAACTAGTATTTTTCATATTTTGGGTCTACTACTTTTGATATGTGATGCAAAAATTTTCTCTTTGCAGCCTTATTCATGCCTATGCAGTTGGCAGAGACATGGAAGAGGCACTGTCATGTGTGAGGAAGATGAAAGAAGAAGGGATTGAATTGACTTTGGTGACCTATAGCATTCTTGTTGGAGGCTTTGCTAGAGTTGGATATGTCGAGTTAGTAGCTTCTCTTCTAGAATTAATTTATAATCCTTCTGTATTCTTCTGTGCTTGCTTGCAATTTCTAAGTTTTCTTTTCCTCTAAGCTTTGGATTTTTGGTATAGACCTTCATGTTTTTTTTCTTCCGATAAGAAACAAGGGTTCTATCGTGTCCATTTTTAACTATAAACTTTTCACAACCCTAAGATAGTGTTTTCTCTTATTGGGATATGAAGCTTGAGTGTCAAAGTTGTTGTCAATTAACCACTAGTAAACATTGCCTTTTTTGGGACTCATATTGGGCTATTGTTTAGAGTTTAAGAATACAAATTTTGGTCTAGTGTAGAATTTGCAAATGAATGAAATGAATTTTCTTGTTGATTCACCAATCACACTTCGAGGAAGGGGGAATTCTTGCACTGGATGTGCTTGCTGAAGAAAATTGAGAAAGCCGGTTCAAGATCCCTAATTTACAGTGTGTTTGGATTGAAGGAGATAAAGGGAAAGGAAGGGAAGGGAAATGGAGGGGTGGAGTATCTTTCGTTTGGATAAACAAATGAGGAAGGAAGGGAATTGGAGGGGAGAGAAATGGAGAGTTAAAATTGTAAGTAGTTGATCTCTCCAACAATGGAGAGATTTGGAAGGAAAACTCATCATCCTCTACCTCCCCTTCTTTTCCTTCCCTTTTCTTTATCCAAACACATTGTAATTCATGGGACAACCAGAGATTTTATTAGAAGTGCTGATGATACATGTCTACCCTGATGAAAAGCAAAACAGTAACTAAAATAAAGATATAGATATATTATTGGCAAGATGATCTCTATATTCAGCAATTAGCTTCACATTATGACTGTTCATCCCCTTCCATTTTTTAATATTATTTTCTTATCAAATATATTCCAAACAGTGTATGTATGAACTATGAAGTAGAAAATGAAATGGTAGAAGAATGTTTATGGGAATTTTGGATATAAAGTTGCCTTGATTTTAATGAAAGAGGCTTAAAGTCTTATTCTTAATGAAGATTTTATCTATTTTGTAAATGAGAAAATAAAGAGAAGCTTGCTAGGAACTAGATTCTAGCTACTGGATATCAGATTATCAAAGATAAGAATAAGGCAAGAACAGCAAGATATTGCCCTATATAACTGGATATTTGTATTGAAATGCTATTAACCAAACAATACAATGGATATTTGTAAAGTTAGCTATTAACCAGCTAAACAATGGTGGTTTCCTTCAATTCGAGAAGAAGGATGATCTCCCAAAACAAGCCTAAGCTCATCAATACTATTTTGTGGATATTCATTGCTACACCCATGCACTCCTATATATACTGCTAGGTCTTCTACAAACTTCCCTTCTACATTCTTACCCCCCCCCCCCCACCCAAAACATAACAGAATTTTATTCTCTGAAGTAAAAGACTAACAAACCCCTTATACCCCCCAAAACAGAATTTACTGAAAAAGAAAACTAATTAACCAAAACAGAAATTGTAAATTAACAAAATAGTAGCCACGATTTAGAGGTCCAGGCCCATTCATTGCACTAAGAAATTCCCCATGTTTTTTACCCTTTGTTCTCTGTAGTGGTTACTGCTTTTGCATGAACAGTTTTGTTCTATTATGAGTTGGTTCTGTGTAAAAAGATGTTAAGGAATCTATTTATCTTAACTTTTTCTGGCAAAACATTTGTTTCCTTTTATGTATCTTAACAATTTACTTCTCTTCCATTAGAGATGGAAGACCGGAAGATATAGATGAAATGTGATACACTAAATTCTAATGTTCTATGATGAAGTTCTTGGTCTTCTAGAGTTAATGTAGGAACTGGATGAACATGACATAATGCCCCTTGCAAGAATATTGTTATGGCGAGAACACAAATGTAGTTGTCCCAACAGTTTCCTGAATTCCCTTATTGAGTCCATTGATCTCTTCCATCTTCCTATGTGGCTGTGTCTCTAAATTTGTAATGACTGGCATTCATCTGTTGAAACTGAGTTGGATTTACAAGTCTTGGATAATGAGTGCACAAATTTGATTTGTAACAACTGGCATTCATCTATTGATAAGGAGGATTGGTATAGTATTGCTAGTCTTGGATAATGT